ACAAATAAAAAAAGCCCAACCAACTCAAAAACCTCCAACAAACACTAACCCAAACTAAAATGTGCTGGATTAAAAGCAACAAGCCAAATCAGCATGAAACCACAAATAAAAATCAACAGACTGTGCCAAAGACCTTGGGGGGATAAAGAGGTTTATAAGTCTGCTTTACAGAGGGGCTTTTTCCACATTCATAAGGCAGCCCCCCGGGACACAAAGGCAAAGTTATGAAAACAGTCCCCTTCACATAAACCCCAGCGTTCTCCAGCTCCAATCCTTAAGCCCACAGCAGCTCAAAAATGAACCTAAATCTAATCTGTTCCATTAACAGTGAAATTTCAGAATTAATCCTGCCTCCACAGGCAGCCAACTCAGTTCTCCAGCAGGCAAAGTCCTCTTCTCATAGGAAAGTTCTCATGAAAGACTCATGTCCAGCATGAGAGATTCCCCTTTTGGGTCAGTCTCTGAATTTGGATCCCACCACACAGGGTCAACTCAGAAGCCCAAGGATCTCCCTTCTCTGCCCCTGTGCAGCTCCTGGCTCTCCAGGAAACCTGTGGAGCAGCCAGGATGGCATCCCTAGGGAAGGGCAGAGAGTGGAGCTGCAGCCAGAGCCAAACAGCACGAGTGACACAAAGGCACTCGCTGGGGGTGACACAGAGCTGCCTTCCACCCCTGCACCCCAAAGCAGGGAACAGGAGAACGCTCAGAAACCTTGGGGCTAAATAACAAGAGATTTTGCTGTTTACTGGCATTCAGTTTTACAAGTAAGCAGACAGTTACTTTTTCCATCCCTGACAAAGTCTTGGACTAACGCCTTAACCTCGGGGCATCAAACGAAAACAACAACGACGATGACGAAGAGCAAAAAAGCAGCAAATAAATCACATATAAATCAAACCAAGAGCAAAACAGAGCCCCAGTAGGCAAATGAATTACCATTGTCAGTGACCGAGTTATGCACAACCACCATGTGTCTCAGCATGCGATGAAGGAGATGGGACAAAACCCAAACATCTCTCTGTGGTAGTTTTTGTTATGTTTGAATAGGGCCATGTCACAATAGGTTTGGGGAACCCGGCCTTCCCTCATTCACCTGTGACCTGAACCTTGAACTTCAACGTGGGCCACCTTTCAAAGTGACACCCTGTCCAAGAACAGATGGGAAAAGAGGATGAGGGGCAGACAATGTCCAGTCAGTCCTAACTCACTTTTAGAGGCAGCACTACTAGAATGGAAAGACAGTAAGGGTCACACACAGTCTGATGGGGGAAACAATCAAATGTATGTTAAGGAATGCCTTTCTGCTGCTGTCCTGGATATGCAATGCTGGACTTCACAAATCCAAGTTATTTTCACTTAGCAATAAAGATTTTAGAGCTGTTCCCCCTTCCCTCTGGCTATAAAAGCCCACTGCCACTTTAAAGACCAGCCCTGGCTGTGGGTTGAAAGCAGAGATGGAGAGAATGCAAGAGTGGTATTCAGAGCACAGGGGGAACTTCGATGGGGCAGAGGGAACCCTGTGGGGGAATGGGTTTCACCAGAATAGACTGGAATCCATCCAGGGCTCCAAACAAGACAAACTGCCCAGAACTGACAAGCACAAATTTGGAGGGAAGACCCCCAGTTCACATCTGACAACTTAACTTTGTGAATGTTTGGTATCCCGTGCCTCTGCAAAACTGAAGGGACCCAAACCTGTGCTATTCCTGCCCTCCAGATCTGAAAACCTTCTGTGCAAAGGCCGGGGCACAAAGCAGAGGGGCAGACACTGCCTTCCTCGTCTGACAACTTACTCTACAATGCTTGGCATCCTGTGCCTCTGCAACACTGAAGGGACCCAGACCTGTGCCATTCTTCCCCTTCTGACCTGAAAAGCCTCTGTGCAGAGGCTGAGGCACAAAGCCCAGGGGCAGACACCGCTTCCCCCATCGCTGTGTGACCCAAAGGACAGGGCACAAAGCCCGGGGGGGCAGACACCGCTTCCCCCATCGCTCCGTGACCGCAAGGACGTCTCTGCCCTTCCATCCTCCCAGCGCGCAGGGGATGCCCTCCCCATCCTCCCGCACTCCCGCGGGTGCTCTCCCCGCATCCCCCACGGCTCGGCGCGACCCTGCGGGGCCCTCCTGCATCCCTCCCTCCCCTCCCTCCCCCTCGCCTTCCCCCCGCTGATTGATGGATGCCGGCGCGGGGGCGGCCGCGGCCCGAGGGGAGGAGGCGCCAGGGCGGCCGGCGCGACGCGGCCGCTCTCCATCCCCCCCCCTCCCCTCTCCCCTGAGCCTCGCAGGAAACCGGCGGTCGGTGGCGGAGCGGGGCCCGGCGCCGGCCCCTGTCTGCAGCTGCGGCAGCAAACGAGCTGCGCCGGGGCGGCGGGGGGCGGGCGCCGCTCCCCCGGCACCGCCGGCACCGCGGCCGGGGCGCGGGCACGGGCGGGGGGGACGCGGCGCCAGCCCCGGGGAGGGACGGGGGGGGTACCGCGCTCGGCTGCCCTGCGGGGACCCCGCGCAGCGGGGGAGGAGCTCAGCCCTCGGGGGGAGCCGTGCCCGGCTCGGCTCCGGCTCCTGCCAGCGCGGGGTTGGGGCACGACGCGGTTTCCCTTTACGGACAGACCGCTCCTCTCTCCTCCCAGCCTTAAACGGAGAGCCAGGCAGGGCCTCTGAGGCATCGATGCGGTGATAAGAGCCCCTGCTATTCCCGCCTGGCTGGGATACACTGGATGTCACCTTTCCCAAAGGAAGAGCCGGGCTCAGCCCTTGGAGCGCTCCCTTTGCTGCCTGCGGTGAGCAGACGGGGAGAGGGGTAGACGCCTGCAAGCAGCTGGGCTTGCCCCCCTTCCAAAGGCAGGGCTTGAGTTTTCCTGGCCTATTCCCGCTGTCCAAGGACTGATTTCGGATCAGTGGAACCGGCTGCAGGCAGGATCGGCTCCCCACCTCCACACCCCCATGGGATAACACAGCAGCACAAGGACCAGGCATTGCAAATCTCAACTGACCAACACTATAAAATATAAAGGATTTCTAGACTGGAGGAGAATCAGCCCTTTGATCTCAGCGGTGCTTGACTGGGTGATCACTAAATGGGGAAAGAGAAACTGTGCCCGATTTTTAATCCTCCTCCTTGTGTGACTGTTTGGAATGTGTAGTGCACATAGCTACGACAAGGCACTAGCAAAATATTTCAGGTTCAATATGTGGAACTGTCCTTTGGTCAGATAACGTGTTCTAATTACAGCACAGAAAGGGCAGCGAGCACTGACAAAAAAGAGTTCTGATGAAAGTCCTCACTGGGGTTTGGCCTTGCTGTGCAAATTCTGACATCAAAACCCCCTTCCAGCTGGGGAAGCAATGGGAGGCAAGTCCAGAAAGATTTATTTCTCCTTTCCCAAAACTACACCAACCGCTTTTTTCCTCTATCTGAACTTCTCAAATTCAGTTCTAAAAGTCTACCAGACACTTGTTCCACGCAGAGCTGCCTTCCCATCGGGAAATGCACAGATCCCTGCACAACTATTAAAAATGTCACTGCTAGGAAAGCGTAGTATGGCCTTTGGGCTACCAACTAATGCAACTTGGTACTCAAAAAGTGACCAGCAGACAGTGTCACCTGGCCAGACACTTCTCAACACCACCACAACTGTGGCACGTCCCTTTGGTCCGCCGATTGTTGGCTCTGATCCGCACGATTGGTAACCAAAGCACATGCCAAGCTCCAAGCTGGAGGAAGCTGATGACACCCCAGCACACCTTGCCCCATCAACCCAGAGGAACTCGCAAGAGTCAGGTTTCAGTCCACCTGGTTTAAAACACCACGGCAATGCTGCAGCAGAACTAGTCCCCGTGAGCCCGATGGGCAGTGGCACGGGCTGCTGCTGCACAACACACAGGCAAGACACCTTCACATTTAATTTATGTGACTGATTATTGTTCTGAGCCCCTTCCCATGGGAATGTGGATATGACCATGCATGCACAGAGATACTACACAGGAACGATACAAACTCACAATTCTATCTGTCGTGCCAAACCATAAAAACACTGCGTGTGGACAGAGACTTGACACCAAAGAAGCAGTAAAAGAAATTTAAAAAAAGGTTGATTTCAGTGGGTAAAAGTACGAAAATTTCCAGCTGTATCTGTTTCCACAGTGCTACTGGCAGTGTTGTTCTTTCAGACCAAGATCTGCTTTAGTTCACCAAACCAACAGCTTCGCCCTCCCGGTTAGATGTTATCGTACATTATGGTTATTTTTATACATGATGAACTGTTTTAAAGCCTTACTTTACTATGATTTCAGTAGCTTTTTATTTATACCATCAACATCTTTTCCAGGAAAATGTTGATGAGAGATTTTGGAAGTCTCAGGATAAAGGCAAGACAGCAGAATACACAAGGAACTCAAAAGCTGGGAAGAAAAGATCTCTAAAAGCCATAACTGTGACCTGTGACATGAATGTTGTTCAAGTTGTAAGCATTTAAGATGAGCTTGTTCCCCATTAAGTTCATCTAACCAAATTCACTGATGGTTTGTAAACTGTGGCTGTTCTAACACGTGGGTGCAATTACAATTCCCTTTCGCTTTATTTAGCCATTTTTACACCTCTGCACAATACACAAAAATGAAGGGGTGGGAATAAGGAAGAGGCTCCTGAACGATTTGTCTTTGCGCACAGACAGCTCCCCCTGAAAACCAAAAAAAAATCACGCCGTGTGCTGCTTCCTTTAGGTCAAACACTGCTCTTCCCATCTGCTCTGCTTCCAAACTCCTCTCCTGCTCGCGTCTCCCTAGACTGCAGGAACCCTCACAGTGCAAGCAGGGCTCTGGCAGACTCGATGACCCTCAGAGATCACGGTTTCATGATCACAGAAGCAAAGGGATGTTTTTTTTTTCAAGGGAAGGAGGCAGAGGAGAGGGAAGATGTCTTAGCTAAAGCACATAGTTTAACAATAATCTTACCACTGGAGACGAAATTCGACACCCAGGGCAATCACAGATTGGAGGATGTACCTGTAAGATTCCTTTGGACATAAGAGTCTTCAAACTTTTCCCTATATGCAGAAGAGAAGAAAAAGCAGAAGAAGAGGAAAAAGGATCAGCACGTTTATAAAAGGAAAGTATTTAGGGAAAGGGGGGGAATAGGGAGGGGGGGTTGCACGCGTCTGCTTCCCTATACACACCCCTCCCCTCGCCTGCCTACCAGCACCCACCCCCGCCTGCCGCTCCATCCAACTTTCTCCCCCGCAGGTACCCGCGGAGGGAAGGAAGCACCGGCGCAGCCCTCGGCGGCCGCTGCCTGTCCTTGGTTCCAGCGCTCCCGCAGCCCGGCAGAGCCGCGGCAGGAGGAGCTCCCGCACACCCAGGGCAGAGCCGCGGCAGGAGGAGCTCCGGCAGCCCGGCAGAGCCGCGGCCAAGCCCCCGCAGGCTGCGCGCTGCCCACGCACCCAGGGCACGGCCGAGCGAGCGGGGCAGCCCACGCGGCGCCTCCCCGCTGCTCCTCTGTCCACTGCGCCTCAGTCCTCCTGACTCACCCCAGAGGAATTGAGCTTTTCCCGAAGGCAGCAGGAGCCCCAGTAATAAAAGAAACGGGAGCGATGCGCACGGGAGCCCCGGCAATTAGCGCGGCGGCCCGAAGCGATGCCCCGGCGCTCTGGCGATCAATAACCCAGGCGAGGTGTCAGTCACCTCCTAATCGCTCCTCAGCCCCCCAGGGCTGACACCTCCAGGTCTCAGAGCTCATTACGTGCCGCATCGGCTCCGCTCTCTCCCCGCCCGCCCCCGCCGCTCCCCCCGGAGCCCCCCGCTCCTCCGCCGGGGCCCCGCTCTCCACCTGCCGCCCGCACCAGCAGCTCCGCCGCGGTGCCGGGACTGCGGCGCCGGCTCGGGCGGGCGGGGAGGGGAGGGAGGGAGGCAGGGCAGGCGCCCGTCAGCAGCCGCCGGCGCCGCGGAGGTCCCGCACCACCCAGCTGCGAGGGGAACACCCCCTCCGCCCCGCCCGCCGCCCCGCCGGTGCCTGGCCGGGGCTGCGCTGCCGCTCCCCGCGGCGCCGGCTCTGCCCGACACCGCCGCCGCCGACACCGCCGGGGGCTCGCAGGGGCGGGCGACCACCCCCGCGGGGCGCCGAGCCCCCCGAGAGCCCCCGCAGCCCGCGGTCCGCCCGCTGTTCAAACCTCCGCCCGCGCGGAATGAAACTTCTCTCCAGCGAGAGAAGAGCCCACCCTCCCCCCCCAAAAAATCAACGCTCAGCCTTCCTCACGCACCCCCACACCCCCCCCAAAAAGGAACTATTCCCAAATCCCCCGGAAAACTTGGCCGGTACCGGGGCGCGGGGATCCGGCGGAGAGGGGCCGGGGGTGCGCGGGGGAGGGGGGCACGGCCGCAGGGGATCAGGGCTCAGCTCTCCCGGTGCGGGCGCTAATAGCCGGTAAGCTCCCCCTCGGATCCCGCTCCCCGAGCGCGGGGGCGAGAGGGAGGATGCTGAGGAAGAGCGGAGCGGCGCGGGGACCCCGGCACACGCCGAGCGGTGCCTTTACCTTTGTGCCTGATGCTGCGCTTCCAGTCCTTGGCCGTCTCCCTGCCGCTGACAAACTGGAACTCGTTGGGGGTGAGCCACTCTCCCCGGTACCGGATAGAGGGTCCTTTGCTCCCCTGGCACAACTTATTGATGTAGAGCAGCGCCTTGTTTTCCCCGCACTCCACCTCGATGCAAGGCTCTCCGTTGTCAAAGAAGGGCTGGAAATCCGGGATGGAGGAAAACCTCTCCAGCATCAGGTCCTCGGGGAGGTGGTGGGGGTGGTGCGGGTGGTGCGGGTGGGGGTGGTGGGTCTCGTGGAAGCCCAGGTACGCGCGGTGGGCAAAGATCTGGTCGTAAGCCGGCGGGTGCGGGGTGACCACCGGAATGGCAGCGGCGGCCAGAGGGGCGAGATAGTCAGGTAAGGTTTCCATGGGCTGGTTAAAAGCTGCCAGGGCCATCTCTTCCCTGTCAAGTCGCTCCTTCTTGATAGCAGGCATGGTGCTGCTGCGCTCCCCGTGCGCCCTCGTCTCTCCAAAGCACAGTGGCTCTAATGTCTCCGGTTCAACTTGCCCCCGCTCTGGCTGGAGTTTGGATGAAATGCGCCAGCAGCAGCAGCAGCAGCAACACAAGCACCTTTGGCGCTCGGGTGCCGGAGGTGGCTGGTATCCCCCGGAGCAGCCCGCTAACAAATCTCCTGGGCTGGCTCCCCAGCAGAGCTGTCTGGGATCCCTCTCCCACGGAGAGGCTAATGTACCGTAGACCCGGGAGCTGCTGTGTGGCTCGCAGATCTGCCCCTCCGGACTAATACCTGACATCTCGGAGAGGTCTCTGCTGCCGTAGACATTATTTTGGTTTAAAAAAAAAAAAAAAAAAAAAAAAAAAGCTTATTGATTCCCCTAGATCGACCCACCTTCTCACCAGGCTGGAGGGTTCCCCGCCGCCCACCCAGAGCCCCCCTTTCGCCCTCCCTCCCCCGCCGCTTCCTTTAAACTGACACCTGGTTTATTTATTTATATGCAATAATTAAAATTAAACGCTGCGCCCCCGCCGCCGCCCCGCGACCCCTCCCCGCCCCGCCGGCGCCCGCCGGGAGGACGGAGCCCCGGCCGGTGCCGGCTCTGCCCGCGGGGCTCCAGACACCCGGGCGGCGGCGGCGAACTTTCCCCGGGGCCGCCCACCTTCACCTGCGCGGTGCGGACTCGCCCCGCTCCCACCGAAGCCTTTTATGATCCCCCGCGAGTTGGTTATTTAATTTCCACTCCTGCACGAAATTTTAAGAAACGTGGTGTTACGCTCCGTATCTCTCTGTATATACATATAGATAGATAGATCTCTACACGCGCGCAGACACACAGACATCTACGGTGACATCCCCGCCGGCTCTGCGCTCCCCACAACGCTGCCCCCAGCCCCAAAAAGCCGGCGCTGTGCCGGGCGGGCCCCCCCCTCCCCCGCCCCGAGCCGGGACAGACACGTATTGATCTGTGCTCAGAAGTCACCGCACAGTTCGGAGACTCTGACCAAACAAGATTTCCCTCCGCCGCCGCCGCCGCCGCTTCTCTAACTTGGCCCATTTAAACAGCAGAGGCGCTTTGGAAGCGCCGCGCCGGCGGCAGCGAGGGGGGTGAGCGACGGACGGCGGGGCCAGCGCCGGCTGCCGCCAGCCCGGGGGGGACCCGGGGCTCCCCCGGCCCCGGAGGGGACACGGACACCTTCCCGGATGGTGCCCATCCCTCCGCATCCCCGGGTGCCCTCCCCGTGCAGGAATACCCGCTGCTCGCTCTCCCTGGCAGCCTCCCGTTGTGCTGTACCTTGGGAAGGCGGGCTGCATCCTTCTCATTCCCGTGTAGGGATGGAGCCAGGCTTGGGAGACACGGCGTAAATTTGTTTTCCATCGCATGCCGTGGCACGGGGTCCGTGTGAAGCTGCCCCGAGAGGACGACGCGGCCCAAAATTAAGTTGTGCGGTTGTTACAGAGATTTGTCACGTCACCAAGATGGAGTTCCCTACCTTTGGATGCTGAGTAGGATCGACTGGGCAGGAAGAATCCTACCTAGAAGGGAAATAAAAATAAATTATCCCCTTAAACGCGGGGCAAGAAATATGGCCTGCAAGTCTTACCAGGTGGCAAAACAGTGAGAGTTCTGTGTGAGCTCTGTCTCAGAGTTCTCAGAACAACAAAAAGTTCTCAGCTTGGTCCCAAGCTGTGTCTCGTGAGTTGCCTGTTTACAGGGGGAGGTGGTGGCAAGTTGAACTTGCCTTCCAGACAGTGGGAAATGGATTTACTGTGTGCCAACCAGCCACTGGCAGAGCTGGCAGGGTCATTCCTGAGCAGTAACTGCCCCTGCCACTTCAGCACCATCTCCCAGGTCATCTCCAAGCACTCACAGACCAGGAGAAAGACCACCACCTGAGTTATTTTCTGTGCCTCCCCAGCTCTCAGCTGACAGGTAACCCTCTCGTTGTACCAAAAGTCCACTAATGGACCACTTTTGGGACACAGTTACTGCTTTCCTACCAGTGAAGGCAGAGAAACTGCCTCTCTGGGGTTCAGCAAATCTGGGAATGGAATCTAAGCCCCAAACCTCAGTTTTTTGTTGACACTACTTGACCATGATCCTTGTTTTTTGCCTATTTATTCTCAAGAAACAAACTCTGGGATCCATCCTTGCTTCTTGCTGCAGTGAAGGAGGCTGATATACATAGCCATCAAACCCTCTCATTTAGGCTTTCAGGCTTAGGCTTTTATTCTTAATGCTTCTGATTGCTCAAGATTACAGGGGGGAAATCACTTTCTATTATCACCTAATAAACCAAGGAAAATGCTTGGAAGAGGCTCTGGGAGACACAGATATTCTCTGTGGAAGTGAGAGGATTCTGGGGAGCTCAGGTGAGAACTGCTCACTCTTACACACCCAGAAACTTTCATGCCTGGCACACCTAGAACTGCACTGGGCTGTGCAGAGCCTTGAGATTTACTCCAGACTTCCCTTGACTCCATCTCCTTTGTAACTTGGCTTCGTGGGCCAGATTTCTTTTCACTTGTTAAAGGGGAGTGGGTGTTTTTTCTCAAAGCCTTCCTTCTTTTTTACAGCCACAAGGGTTACTGTTCTTCACCTCCACTCCTAATGGCAGCTTCACCTCCAAGTGTAGGGAGAGCTTGGCCACGGCATTCTCCAAAGGCAAGTCTCCATGATTCCTCCAGGAGTGGTCACAGGAGAGCAGGACAAGGCTGGCTTTCATCCTGCAGGAACACCTTCCTCACATACAGGTGTTCTGGCAGAACTCCGTGAAGTTTGGGGGCGTTCAAGAGGCGCAGATTCAGACTGATCCCATCAGCACTAAAGTTAATAACGAGTCCTGCCTGTAATAAAGAGCAAGAGCTGTGTCTGGACGTCTGAGTTCAGAACAGCAGAAGTCTCAAGTTGTTCAGCTCCACTCTCTCAATAGTAGAGCTTTCGGGATTAGTGTAAACATATTCACCACTGGAGAGCAGATCAGAGAGCACTGAGCAAATCCAGGCACATGTGGTTGGAGAGAGAACTAGGAACCCTTTGCAGATTCCACACCAAGGGACTGGAACAGGTTCTCAAGTCTGGGGGCACGAATCACTGGTGTCTTTTTGTTGTGTGTGTTTCCACGGCACCCAGCGAAGTGAAAGCATGAATCTCAATTTGCTCACAGAGGCACCACCACAGTAAACACAGTAAATAGTGATCATTTTCCAACCTTTAGTTCTCCACCTCTGGAGAATACATGGTGTTGGATTGAAACAAAGCCTGTGTCTCTCAGGTCAAATGTGTCAACAACTGCAAAGAGTTACCTGTGCTGTAAAGTGTTTTCCAAGTAGAGATAATGCTTCAAGCACAGGTCTTACACTTAAGGGAGACAGATTTTCTTCTGTATTCTATCACCAGTTTCACTGACAAATTACTTATCCTGGGTATTCCTCCACTATTCAACATAGAAAAGAAGGGAAAACTTCCTAAATGTAACTTGTTTACATGTGTTTCAGTAAACCTCTGAGTTTCTGACTGAGATCAAAGGTTCTTTGAGCTGTGTTTTAAAAACTCATTGCAGATGCAGGCCCTGCCCCTTTACAGGAAAGACAGGTTGAGGCTGGGAGGAGAGAGACACCCTGGGAAATGACCAGCCTGAGTTCACAAACTGATCCAGAGCTTCTGTCTTTGCAGGAATCCAGCACAGATGCCACACGTGCCATCTCTGGCACCACTGGGCCCCTGCCTGAACTAAGCTAAAGGAAGATCCAACATTCTGTCAGCACAGCTGCACCTACAGCACTGGCCTTGCTGCCCTTGTCATAGCAGGTCTGTAGCATGAGTTTCTTACAGTCCACAACCGACTATGCCAGCAAAGTTCTGTCCTGCACACTGAAACACTTCAGAAAATAAACCAGGTCTTTCAACAACTGGTGTAGTATCCTGTGAGTCCAGTATCCAGTGAATCGTGTTGTTCCTCCCAAAGAAGTTGGTGTATTTAGCCTTTTAAGGCTGCAAGTCAGCAGCTCCCCTCCCCACTTCCCTCTCTATTCCACAGAATTCCCTGACACTTATCACACCAGTGAGGAGAAGCAGCAATCCTCTCCCTACCAAGTTGCTGCACCTACCAAAACACAGGGGAGGAGAGCACAGAGCCACCACACTCATGCCTTCCTCAGCCTCTTCCACAGTCTCAGAGGACATCAGGACTGTCTAACAGCCAGGATTCACTGCTTTTTGACTTCTGTTCCTTGCCAGGTACAGCCCAGCTCTGTGCTCCCTGCCTGGGAACACCAGCCCTGCTGCCGGAGTCGCGCTCAGCGGGACTGGGATTGAGGTAATAGCAGCCTCAGGCCAGACTGCTTCATTAGGAGAGAGGTTTTGACAGCCCAGCAGCAAGAGCAACAGCAGGGAGGGCACAGGTGGGTGTTCAGGGGAGGAGGGTTGGGAAGGAGGACACTGGAAAGGGCTTTGCTTCTGAAAAAAAACCCCACTGTCTCAGGAACTGCTGGGCTGTACCCTTGTTAATCCCACTGATTCAGAACACTGCCTTTTATTGGAACTGAGGTTTTTTCAGCTTTTCTAGAAAGCAGTGTCAGGGTAGTATGGGCTTACACACAAACCAGAGCTGTAAACTGCATGCACCTCTGTCTGATGCAGGCGTTCTGTCTGCTTCCAGGAGGATGGCCTGGGACAGTCAGTGGTGGCTTAAGAAACTCTCTTCTTATCAAACTCTATTCACAAAATGCCTCTTCCAAATCACCTTCCTTACCAGTGCCCTGTACAGCTTTGTGACCAGTCTAAGCAGATCAGAACTCAGAGAAATGAAGGAATTAAACGTCTGTTGGGGAGAAAGTTTTATTTTGGAAGCAAGGGCTCCAATTCTAAACTAGCTGCTCCGTTCTCCTAAATAATGAATAACTTCCCGTGCAGGGAACACACTGTTCTCTCTCCCAGCTGGTGCAGGGGTTATGCTCTGCTGTCAAACAATCACCTGGCCCGTGGCTCAGAGACCTCTGCACGCTGCTACACACACACACAGTCCACAAGAAGCAGCTTAAATTAAAAGGGCACAAACCTATTTCCACTAAAACCAATGGCAGTTTTTTACTGACTTCACTCTTCAGTGTCTAGTCCCCTGTAATACAGCACGAGGATTGCCCTTCTCTGCAAAGGTTTTGGAAAACAAGTTTAGTTACACTCAAGTGATGCCTCTATGATGTAAAAAAAAAATCATTTACAGAAATCACCAGTGGAATAAGCCTTAAGTATCAAAGCTGCTGTTACAGTAACTGCTCTCTGACCCTTTAAAGCAAGAGCTGCCTTCTTTGCAGCTCCAGTCACTGGGCAGCTCCCATGTCCTCCTCTCTGCATTAACTACACTTCTTTGTGCATACTGCAATTAAAAATGCATCTTTCTCCCCCTTTCCTCCCTCCTCGGAGGTTATTTATTGCTAATTCGTAACCATTGTGAAATACTTGAGATATCAGAGTTGTAATGCAGAAGAAATCATCCACCAGACTCTCCTTTTTCCCAAAGCCTTTGTGCTACTCTGCTCCACTGCTAAGAAAAACTCCCCTGTGTCAAAAGATGCTGAAATGATGGTCAGATTGTATTCATCTAAAGCTTGGCTTTGTCCCAGCACTCCTTCCTAACTCCACTTCCCCAACTTCCTGCCTGCCTTTCCTCCTCCAATCATAGTAACAAAAGGGAACACTGAAAAACTGACTATCCAAGAATATGTGTGTATTGCTGGGTTATGACAACGGAAAATTAGTGACCACTGAAAAGCAGATAACATCAGGTGTGCCCTCCTCACATCAAAAAATAATCCCTTAACTCACAGGTTCACACAAACATGTGTGCACAGAGCCCCTTTTTTAGGTGAGACAGATGAACCTCACTAACTAATTCTCTGGAAGTGATGTGTCCCAAGAGTCTGGTGCAGTCAAGGTGTGACTGCTTTTAATACGTGCTAGGAAAGTCAAATTAAAGACTAGGTAGAACCTGCCTTGACCAATTTAGGAGGTGCTGAAGTGCACACTTGCAGC